AGCAAGGCATTGAGCAATAATGAACATCGGATTGCCGGCCAACAGACAGAGTGACAGTCTGACTTCTGGTAGACAACCAAAAAGCTCAATCACTTTCCCCCCGAATCTAAAAATAAACTGAAAGTTATTTTTCTGCTTTGGTGGAAATCGAAACTACTTCAAAAGTGATCAAAGGGCAACTTTTGGTGCCAAAAACCAAAATTTGGTCGGCATCTAGTTTCTACATTAATGAAAGTTGTGTTGAGTTAAGTACAAAAGGAGCATCGGGAAATTCCACTATCTCTACTAATACACATTTTTTCTAATAAACATGTCTGTGGGCGGTTATTGTTGTAAATATCTGGACATTACTTGATTTTGATTGATATATATATATNTGGTGAACTAACATGATCATTGTGTACTCAAATAGTCATAACTGGTGAACTAACATGATCATTGTGTACTCAAATAGTCATAACTGGTGAACTAACATGATCATTGTGTACTCAAATAGTCATAACTGGTGAACTAACATGATCATTGTGTACTCAAATAGTCATAACTGGTGAACTAACATGATCATTGTGTACTCAAATAGTCATAACTGGTGAACTAACATGATCATTGTGTACTCAAATAGTCATAACTGGTGAACTAACATGATCATTGTGTACTCAAATAGTCATAACTGGTGAACTAACATGATCATTGTGTACTCAAATAGTCATAACTGGTGAACTAACATGATCATTGTGTACTCAAATAGTCATAACTGGTGAACTAACATGATCATTGTGTACTCAAATAGTCATAACTGGTGAACTAACATGATCATTGTGTACTCAAATAGTCATAACTGGTGAACTAACATGATCATTGTGTACTCAAATAGTCATAACTGGTGAACTTGTAACATTTCCATTGTTATGAAAGTGAAATAGGACATAGCTAATCATTATACAAAAAAAGTTGGAGATATAGATTTTTTTCAGATTTCATTTTGAGCACTCAGCTGATGATGTCGGTTGATGATGTCAGTTGATGATGTCAGTTGATGATGTGGGTTGATGATGTCAGTTGATGATGTCGGTTGATGATGTCAGTTGATGATGTCAGTTGATGATGTCAGTTGATGATGTCAGCTGATGATGTCAGTTGATGATGTCGGTTGATGATGTCGGTTGATGATGTCAGCTGATGATGTCAGTTGATGATGTCAGCTGATGATGTCGGTTGATGATGTCAGTTGATGATGTCAGTTGATGATGTCAGTTGATGATGTCAGCTGATGATGTCAGCTGATGATGTCAGTTGATGATGTCAGCTGATGATGTCAGCTGATGATGTCAGTTGATGATGTCAGCTGATGATGTCGGTTGATGATGTCGGTTGATGATGTCAGTTGATGATGTCAGTTGATGATGTCAGTTGATGATGTCAGCTGATGATGTCAGCTGATGATGTCAGTTGATGATGTCAGTTGCTGATGTCAGTTGATGATGTCAGTTGATGATGTCAGTTGATGATGTCAGTTTATGATGTCAGCTGATGATGTCGGCTGATGATGTTAGTTGATGATGTCAGTTGATGTCAGCTGATGATGTCAGTTGATGATGTCAGCTGATGATGTCGGTTGATGAAGTCAGTTAATGATGTCAGTTGATGATGTCAGTTGATGATGTCAGTTGATGATGTCAGTTGATAATGTCAGTTGATGATGTCGGTTGATGATGTCAGTTGATGATGTCAGTTGATGATGTCAGCTGATGACGTCAGCTGATGATGTCAGCTGATGATGTCAGTTGATGATGTCAGCTGATGATGTCAGCTGATGATGTCAGTTGATGTCAGCTGATGATGTCGGTTGATGATGTCAGTTGATGTCAGTTGATGATGTCAGTTGATGATGTCAGCTGATGATGTCGGTTGATGAAGTCAGTTAATGATGTCAGTTGATGATGCCAGTTGATGATGTCAGTTGATGATGTCAGTTGATAATGTCAGTTGATGATGTCGGTTGATGATGTCAGTTGATGATGTCAGTTGATGATGTCAGCTGATGACGTCAGCTGATGATGTCAGCTGATGATGTCAGTTGATGATGTCAGCTGACGATGTCAGTTGATGTCAGCTGATGATGTCGGTTGATGATGTCAGTTGATGTCAGTTGATGATATCAGTTGATGATGTCAGTTGATGATGTCAGTTGATGATGTCAGTTGATAATGTCAGTTGATAATGTCAGCTGATGATGTCAGCTGATGATGTCAGTTGATGATGTCAGCTGATGATGTCAGCTGATGATGTCAGTTGATGATGTCAGTTGATGATGTCAGTTGATGATGTCAGTTGATGATGTCAGTTGATGATGTCAGTTGATGATGTAAGTTGATCATGTCGGCTGATGATGTCGGCTGATGATGTTAGTTGATGATGTCAGTTGATGTCAGCTGATGATATCAGCTGATGATGTCAGTTGATGATGTCAGCTGATGATGTCGGTTGATGATGTCAGTTGATGATGTCAGTTGATGATGTCAGCTGATGATGTCAGTTGATGATGTCAGTTGATGATGTCAGTTGATGATGTCGGTTGATGATGTCAGTTGATGATGTCAGCTGATGATGTCAGCTGATGATGTCAGCTGATGATGTCAGTTGATGATGTCAGCTGATGATGTCGGTTGATGATGTCAGTTGATGATGTCAGTTGATGATGTCAGTTGATGATGTCAGTTGATGATGTCAGTTGATGATGTCAGTTGATGATGTCGGTTGATGATGTCAGTTGATGATGTCAGCTGATGATGTCAGCTGATGATGTCAGCTGATGATGTCAGTTGATGATGTCAGCTGATGATGTCAGCTGATGATGTCAGTTGATGTCAGCTGATGATGTCAGCTGATGATGTCAGTTGATGATGTCAGCTGATGTCAGTTGATGATGTCAGCTGATGATGTCAGTTGATGATGTGTAAGGAAAACTTTAAATGTGAAAGACATTAAATAATAATTATCTGGAGCTGTCACTTAATTATGATATTAAATTAGTTACCTGTTTACTGTTTGCATCCTGCCATTGCTGCCCTTCTGATTTTATGATTAATATTAAATCTCATTGTGCTATATTGTAGGCCCCCACTTCAGAAGAAAAGATCCAGCATAAAGATGCTAGTAGCCCTGGTCATCAAACTACAGGTCAGTTGAATCAGTTAGTAGGTCTGGTCATCAAACTACAGGTCAGTTGAATCAGTTAGTAGGTCTGGTCATCAAACTACAGGTCAGTTGAATCAATTAGTAGGTCTGGTCATTAAACTACAGGTCAGTTGAATCAATTTGTAGGCCTGGTCATTAAACTACAGGTCAGTTGAATCAATTAGTAGGTCTGGTCATCAAACTACAGGTCAGTTGAATCAATTATTAGGCCTGGTCATAAAACTACAGGTCAGTTGAATAAATTAGTAGGTCTGGTCATCAAACTACAGGTCAGTTGAATCAATTAGTAGGTCTGGTCATTAAACTACAGGTCAGTTGAATCAATTTGTAGGCCTGGTCATTAAACTACAGGTCTGTTGAATCAATTAGTAGGTCTGGTCATCAAACTACAGGTCAGTTGAATCAGTTAGTAGGCCTGGTTATCAAACTACAGGTCAGTTGAATCAATTTGTAGGTCTGGTCATCAAACTACAGCTCAGTTAATCAATTAGTAGGTCTGGTCATCAAACTACAGGTCAGTTGAATCAATTAGTAGGTCTGGTCATCAAACTACAGGTCAGTTGAATCAATTAGTAGGTCTGGTCATCAAACTACAGGTCAGTTGAATCAATTTGTAGGTCTAGTCATCAAACTACAGGTCAGTTGAATCAATTAGGAGGTCTGGTCATCAAACTACAGGTCAGTTGAATCAATTAGTAGGTCTGATCATCAAACTACAGGTCAGTTGAATCAATTAGTAGGTCTGATCATCAAACTACAGGTCAGTTGAATCAATTAGGAGGTCTGGTCATCAAACTACAGGTCAGTTGATATCAAACAATTATCAGCCTTAGATGTTCATATCAATGCTAGGACTAATTATAGCATTAGTGATGAATTTAAAGTGCAGCTTTTGCCTTTTATTTTACACTTTTGCTCTAGTTTTTAAAATGACTGGTACAATCAATTGCAATGTAACTAAACATGATCAGCCATCCTAGTCGGCCAACAACTTCTAAAAGTTGTTTCTTTCTGAACAAATACAAGGATGAAAGAACCACAGCAGAAAAGAATTTATGATCCATTTTATTTCCTTCTGCAGGCTTTCATTTTTATCTTTACCATTATCATTTCATCTTATTTTTTCATGTTTAGCTAAAGATGAAACGGGAAGTCAGCGGAAAAGTTCCCCATCTCAGGTCTATGGTGATCCCCTTGTAACAGATGCTACATCTAAGAATGAAGATGAAGAGAACATCTCGAACCTGTCTCCCAATCGGGAAACGAGGAATGAAAAGGTAATAAGATATATTTATCTATGTCATGGAGGGGGCCCCTTACTATAAAGGTTCAGGTCAAGGAGGTCCCTTCAGTGGCCATCCTCAGACAAAGGTCAGAAACAGTAGCTGCCCCTGTCTTGATTTTATCAAAATTAAAGTTCATGTAAGCCAGAAGGTCAAGGTTGAAAAGCCAGCTGCCTCTAATAAATCTGGATTAGAACAACCTTAAAGAAATGTCATTTATCAAATAAGTTCGCTGTGCCGTCATCACTCCAGCTCCAGGCGCAAGGATACACATATGTGATTTGTCGACTTGTGGGAACATAACCTGCAGGGGAACAATAATGGAACATTATTTGCAGTGGAACCATGAAAGAACACTACATTCTGTGAAGGAATAAGAGGAGACACAATTAAGACACATTGTAAAAATGTGGATGTCCTTGCCTTCCAAGGATCTAACCTATTTACTTTGTTTTCTTTGACACGAGGAAAGTTTGTTTCTTTCAGGTCCAGCAGTGGGTCAACACCAGCACTCACTCCATGAAACCCAGTGTCAGCGGCCCTCTTCTCATTCCTGTCTATGTGTACAGCTGTGAACTGAAGAATCTCACTAACTCTCTGGTGGACAGGTCAGTAGAGTCATTGGAACAGCTACAGTCAGGCCAAACTGATGTTGCTAATAGATTTAAATCAAATCAAATATTTTGAGCTATGTTTAAAAAAAAAAAATATATATATATATTACATGACCTGCAAAATGGTTTATATTTGAATAAAACTGGATAATCTTTATGTTTTCAGATTTTTCTTAAATATTATCTAACAGGTCTATCACCGGTGCCCATGAGGTACAGTAGAAGAATGGCTATGTACAAATAATATGTCTTGTCTTCCAATGTGTCTTTTTATTGTTGTTTTTCTTCTTCTTAATATTAAGGGCCCACGAACAATTTATTGATAATTCTGACTCCTATGCATGTAGAGGGGATTTGCAATGTCTCTGTGCCTGGTGTTGATGAGGATATTTCACTGGTTGCAAGGGCTACTTTGTGGGGGTGTCATGCACTGGCGGTTGGAAGGCCTGAGGCATAGACGCAAATGTGTCAAGTGTTTTTGCCTCAACTGTTCCTTTGTTGTTTTTGATTGTCATCAATTCATTTTATGTCATTTGTCATCTGAATTTTTGTTCTGTTTATGAGAATGGCATCACAGCCACATCCACAGAGATTGGGGGGGGGGCTGGGGGGGGGGTGTTGTTCAAAAGCAGACAGACTCAGACAACAAAAAGAAAAAGGGGTGGGGTTAAAGTGTGTTGTTTGTTTGTATTTGTTATACCCTGCTATAGGCCCACTGGGTGTATTCCTCTATGGCTGACCTATTTATGAAATTTAAAAAAAAATTATAATTATAAACCATTAAGAATGTAGAAAAAATTTCATATAGGCGATCACTTTAAATATTTGGTTGCTTTCCTTCAACAAATATAAACAATGCAAGTTTTTTCTCTGGTTGATGTTATCCAGAGATTTATTTTAGGGGCCATGGGTATATTACGAATGCAAACAAGTAAAATTTTAGACCCCCCTCCCCTTTGATGCATCTCTCCTTTTTGGGCAACCCTCCTTTTTGGGCACCCCTTCTTTGAGCGTATTTACAATTAGCTTCAGGCCCCCCCCCCCCCACCAGCTATACGGCTAGCCATAATTTTATTTCAATAAAGTTTTATATTATATAGTTAACTTAATTCGTGAAGCACATGTATTATATACAAAGTAAATGCAGCAGTTGTTAATAAAATTATCAGTGGCCTAGCTAGCCAAAAGTGCCCCCCCCAAGGCAGGGCAAGATTTTTGCCTTCCACACTAAAACAAACTCTGCAGTTATCCAAAATGGCGCCAGGGGCGGTTCACCCCCTCGGCACCCCTCTTCCTACGCCAGTGACTATTATTGAATGTTTGCTGTGATGATGATATCTGCACTTACGCCCATCAGTTGACCAACAGCTGACGTACACACTACTAAAATAATGTGATCTTGGATTTCATATTAAAAAGTCATTGATTTTTGGAAATGACCTACCTGGAATTCCGCTAAGCCCTTTAAAGAGTGTGGTATAGTTGACACACGATGCCAGTAACTACTTGTATTCATTTGCTGTTATTTTATCATTACATTTATGAAAAAAATTATGAATACAAATTCTGGATTTTACAAAAAATTGTAATTAAAAAAAAATGTTTTGAATATCTGGATACTGAAAATAAAAACTAGTTTTCAGTTTCTTAAAGTTTTTCTTAACAATTTTTTATTGAAAGGTGGACCTTCAGTCTTCCTGACGATATTTTTGAGGATATGTCTTTCAAAAAAGATCCATCTGATGAGGTCAGGTCTCCCCGATCTCCTAGGAGCCAACTTCAGTCATTTGATGAAAACACGGATGACCAGGACGACAGAGACTCCTGGAGAAGCTCACTCGACCGCCGGTCGACAGACAGCAATTCGCACAGAATAGATTCTTTTAAAGAACATTGCAAGTCACTCACCGAGATGTACTTCAACTCTTTTGTGTTAGGTAAAATGTGCTTAACATTTGTGTGTGTTTTCCATTTTTTAAAGTGAGTTAGATTGTGGCTAGTAAATTAGTCCCAAGTTTGTGTAAGTTGCATGAAGTACGTGTGTCTCAAGGGAATGTGGTTTCTATTAGTTGTAAGAGAATACCTCGGTTACATTAAATCAGATCCTGTGTTGTTAGTTATTGCGTAGTTACTTGTGTACTCGCTGAAGACATAAACATGTCGTCAATGACTTGTTTTATTTCTAGGTGTGTTCCTCAGCCTAAGACAGAGTTACTTTGTTGACAGCCAAGATGTGGACTCTGCCATCAACAATATTTGTGAAGAATCCCATCCCCTGGAAACAGACATGACCACCTACCTGTTGGCCTCATGCTCCCACCTGCTGCATATGGTCCAGAAGGCCAGGCTCAGAGAGAAATCCAGTGGGGAGGTGGGGCTCAGAGCTGGTCCAACTTATCATAAACAAGTGTCTGTCAGGTTCCAGGACATCATAGACATCCACAAGTTAGTGCTGGTCCCTACTCTTGGGTTTGTGGGTTGGTTTGGCGGGATTTTGAGTGGGCCGACGGCGGGGAGAATTCTGGAATGAGATTTTGATAAAAATTAACTATTACTAAATCCTATCCCTATGATGATGTAATCACGATCTGATTTTACCTTGCACCTGGTATCTCTGACTCCTCTTTAACATTGTCCCCACTGATAACCATGACATCTTTGAAACACTATGATTTATGTTTGTCTATCAGAGAAGATGAAGCCCCGAGAATCCCAGAAGTCTTGCAAATGCCAAATCAGTCACTGGACATCACAGAGGATGAGTGGTCATCTCTGTCCCCTGACCAGTGCCAGCAGTTGAAAGAGCACCATCAGCTGTGTGAAACGATCAAGGCAAAGTTTGCAGAGGCCATCGGTCAATGCCTGCGTCCAGTTCCATCCTTAGCAGATTTTTATTTCTATTGTCCCAATGTCGTCCCGATGAGTTCGGCTGTAAGTAAACAATTCTTATGATAATCTCTGATTGCCTGCAGGAGTTGCAGGACTTTAATATGACACTTTAAGGAAAACTTCACACAGTGAGCTCACTTTTTTAAAACAAAAAAACTGGTTGTGTGGCTCTGTCTACTATTAAATCTATGTAATAAATACACCTTCAAAAAGAACTCCAAAAATAAACACATGCCTGAAATCAGCCTTGACCACTTTTGTCCTTAAAACCACTTGACCACTTTTGTCCTTAAAACCACTTGACCACTTTTGTCTGTTTTTGGTGGGAAAAGACCTTGTAACACAAAGTTAGGCAAAATGCTTCGGAAGTTCATAACTGACAAGATAGCAGAAGGAGACATTGGTATTGGGATATAAAATGCTACTGTCTGGAAGGCATGGATATTGGGATATCACGTGCAACAGTCTGTGAGGCATGCATAATGATATCACATGCAGCTGTCTGGGGGACATGTGTATTGATATTCCAAGCAACTGACTGGACCACAGAATGGCTTGGAGGCATGGGTATTGGGATATTATATGCAACTATCTGGGAGGCAAGCGGTATTGGGATATGACATGCAACTATCTGGGAGGTAAGCGGTATTGGGATATAACTTGCAACTATCTGGGAGGCAAGTGATATTGGGATATGACATGCAACTATCTGGGAGGCAAGTGGTATTGGGATATGACATGCAACTATCTGGGAGGCAACTGGTATTGAGATATGTCATGCAACTATCTGGGACGCAAGTGGTATTGGGATATGTCATGCAACTATCTGGAGGCTTTGGTATTGGAATATGAAATGCAACTATCTGGAGGCTTTGGTATTGGGATATGAAATGCAACTATCTGGAGGCTTTGGTATTGGGATATGAAATGCAACTATCTGGAGGCTTTGGTATTGGGATATGAAATACAACTATCTGGGGGCTTTGGTATTGGGATATGAAATGCAACTATCTGGGGGCTTTGGTATTGGGATATCAAATGAAACTATCTGGGGGCTTTGGTATTGGGATATCAAATGAAACTATCTGGGGGCTTTGGTATTGGGATACGAAATGCAACTATCTGGAGGCTTTGGTATTGGGATATCAAATGAAACTTCCTGGGATGCTTGCCATTTATTCATTTTTGCCATTGGATTTATTTTCTTTCAACTGTTTGTTTCCTCAGGATGGTCTTGATGACAAGGATGATGATTTTGAAGAAAATGAAGGTAAAAAAAATTCTATCTACTCTCATTTTAACATAAAGTTTTGTTATTTCAGATTTATTAAAAAGTTAATTTAAAGTTTCCAATTTGTAAACTTTCTCAGGAACAAAATTTTTAAAATTGAAATTTAACTATACCAACCACATTTGTTCTATAATTTCTCAATTAATCAATAATTATTTATCTATGTCCTTACATCTTAAGTATTCTTTACATTGAACTTCTGTTTAACCAGAGAGAGGGCAATGGTTGTTAGAGAACACCCAGTATATTATCATGTAGCCAGAGGGCCATATTGAGCATAGGACCATTTTGTTATCTATCTAGAGGGCCATATTGAGCATAGGACCATTTTGTTATCATCTATCTAGAGGGCCATATTGAGCATAGGACCATTTTGTTATCATCTATCTAGAGGGCCATATTGAGCATAGGACCATTTTGTTATCATCTATCTAGAGGGCCATATTGAGCATAGGACCATTTTGTTATCATCTATCTAGAGGGCCATATTGAGCATAGGACCATTTTGTTATCATCTATCTAGAGGGCCATATTGAGCATAGGACCATTTTGTTATCATCTATCTAGAGGGCCATATTGAGCATAGGACCATTTTGTTATCATCTATCTAGAGGGCCATATTGAGCATAGGACCATTTTGTTATCATCTATCTAGAGGGCCATATTGAGCATAGGACCATTTTGTTATCATCTATCTAGAGGGCCATATTGAGCATAGGACCATTTTGTTATCATCTATCTAGAGGGCCATATTGAGCATAGGACCATTTTGTTATCATCTATCTAGAGGGCCATATTGAGCATAGGACCATTTTGTTATCATCTATCTAGAGGGCCATATTGAGCATAGGACCATTTTGTTATCATCTATCTAGAGGGCCATATTGAGCATAGGACCATTTTGTTATCATCTATCTAGAGGGCCATATTGAGCATAGGACCATTTTGTTATCATCTATCTAGAGGGCCATATTGAGCATAGGACCATTTTGTTATCAT